TGGAGTGCAATGGCGCGATCTCGGCTCATTGCAACCTCTGCCTCCCAGGTTCAAGCGATTCTCCTGCCTCAGCCTCCTGGGTAGCTGGGATTACAGGTGCGTGCCACCACACCCGGCTAATTTTTGTGTTTTTAGTAAAGGCAGGGTTTCACCATGTTGGCCAGGCTGGTCTCGAACTCCCTACCTCAGGTGATCCGCCCGCCTCGGCCTCCCAATGTGCTGGGATTACAGGTGTGAACCACTGCGCCTGGCGGTACCTTGTTATAAGGGTTTTATCATAGTGGGTTTTATCAGTAGTAAAGCAAAAGGAGCATATTGCATAGAATATGGTAAAGACTTAACATTACTAATGTCAAGGAGGACATAGAAGGGTGGAATCTTTTCCTAGACCAGGGTTTCTCAACCTCAGCACTATTTGGGGCTGGATAAATCTGTGTTGTGAGGGGCTGTCCTGTGCATTTAGAATATTTTGCAGCATCCCTGGCCCCCATCCATAAGATGCCAGTAGCAGCTCCACTCTATTTGTGACAACCAAAAATGTCTTCAGACATTGCCAAATATCCCCCAGAGGGAGAATCCTTAGTTGAGAACCACTGTCCTAGATCAAAATGATACCATCAGCTTTCTCTCTCGATGAGCTGAGAGTAAGTGATTAATGTAATTGTTGTATATAATCATCTCTAAAATGCTTTTGGAAAAACACAAATGAAAGAGATCTTACTCTTAGGACAGAGGCAAGGGGCTGTATCAGGTAATGTAAAGGGTAGGGGTAAATGTTATCCTAATGTTCTCCTATATGTAATTCTGAGAACCACCATCATGGTCATCATCAGGAAACACTAAGTTCCTACTACTTGTAGGATGCTGTGTTAAGTGTGATTCTGTCAATCTTATATGTAGTTGTCAGTAGTGACAGTGCTTTGAGGAATTTGACTTTTCATAGACCTATAATGTGATTACAAGTTGCATTATGAGGGAGAGGTAGTTACAGTAATTGTTTCTACTGAATTAATTGCTTTCTGAGTCTTAAAAAACTATAGTCTGAAATTATCTGTGTTTCTTATCTCCTGTCAATTGCCATTGCACTTCTACATTATTTATTGAATACTTAATATCAAGGGGCTGAATGCAACCAAAAGATATTACTGTCCTTTGAGTACTCAAGTCTAGAGAGGATTGAGACACAGATGTGTGGAAAGGATTAGTAAATGCAAATGACTGTATGATTAAATGCCAACATGGGTGAGAAAGACATGGGATCAGAATTTATCAAAACAAAGACCACCAGGGGCGAACCCTTGCAGATGAAGTAGCACTTAGTTGTTTCTTTTGCGTTTCTGATTTTATAGGTATATCCCAGCTGTGGTTGACCATACAGCAGGCTTGCCTTGCCAGGGGACATTTTTGCTTCATCAGGTACTAATGAGGGACCAAAATAGGCCTCAGAGGGAACACTGAAAAGAGTTTAGAATAAGAGATGGAACTCTTTCTTTTTCTCTGTTTTCATCTCTATTTCAAAGGGCGGGCGGGGCATTGTCCTGTTGTCATTTTTTTTTTCTATGTCTGTTTTTTGATATTTCTTCCTCAGACCTTGGCTTATATTTACCCTTGCTTTTATATTTATTTAGAATAGCTATTTTGAAAAATATTTTATTTCATTTAATTACTCTAATTTGTGTAGCTCCTGCGTCACTTTTAATACTTTTCAGGATGTTTGGAAGCTTTGTGCTTTCACACCAAAAGTTCTTAATAGGGGTGGAGGATAAGGTTTCAGTGGACTAAAAGTCTGGTTATGAAATATAGGTCCCCTTTTGGTAAATCAAGAGTAGGTTCAGTCAGTGTTCAAAAGTACTTAAGACCCAAGTGGGCATAGGGACTAGGGATGCCATACACTTGGGACATACGATCAGGGCATGGTTGAATACTTACTACGCAAGGGGCTGGGATGCAGCCGCATAATCTCCTGTGACAGATTATGGTTTTATTCTTAAAACCATAGAGAAAAAGAATGTTTAAAAAAAGAAAAGAAAACCATATCAGACCTGACTGTTCCTTAGTCCCTGACACATCTCCTTTTTTTTGAATAACAATGTGGATAGCATTTTCCCTCTTTCCACGCCTCTCCTTCCTGCTCATCCCCCATGCCATGCCGTACAGCCCAGAAAACAATAGAGGAGAGGAGATAATAGATTGCTCCAGCTAAATTGCAACCCTGCTTCATTACCTAGGGCATCCAGCGAAGGATCACAGTGACCATTATCCATGAGAAGGGGAGCGAGCTCCATTGGAAGGATGTTCGTGAACTGGTGGTCGGTGAGTACGTTTCATCAGCCAAGGACAGAACCAGGACTTATAGAGAATTTTTTTTTGTTTTTTGAGATAGGGTCTTGCTCTGTCACCCAGGCTGGAGTACAATGATGAGATCATAGCTCTCTGTAGCCTCAAACTTCTGGGCTCAAGCGATCCTCCTGCCTCAGGTTCCCATGTAACTGGGACTACAGGTGTGAGGCACTGTGTCCTGTTAGAGATGTTATTCTTCCCTGTTTGTGGTACAGGGAATGTGTGGAAGACCATATTGGGAAACAGAGACTATGGAGATGTAGAGGCCTTGAGTTTGAAACTCTGTATTCCTGTTTCTTCGCTCTATCATTAGTGATATGTAATCAAACTAACTCAGTTACCAGGGTATGGTTCTGTGATAGAGGCTGTGAGAGGGCATACAAGAAATCTCTGCTGGCTGGGTGTGGTGGCTCATGCCTGTAATTCCAGCACTTTTGGAGGCTGAGATGGGTGGATTACTTGAGCTCAGGAGTTTGAGTCTGGCCAAGGTAGCAAAATCCCATCTCTACAAAAAAATATGAAAATTAGCTGGGCATGATGGCATGCACCTGTAGTCTCGGCTGCTCAGGAGGCTGAGGTGGGAGGATCGCTTAAATTTGGGAGGTGGAGGTTGTAGTGAGCTGAGATGGCGCCACTGCATTCAAGCCTGGACAACAGAGTGGGACTCCGTCTTAAAAAAAAAGAAAAGAAAAATCTCTACTAATTGTGAGCTTGCAGTTTAGTTAGGGAGACAGCATATATATATGCAGAATGCTTTGATGAATAAATACCAAAATAAAGACAAAGGAAGATCTATGCTAAGAGAGTTAACAGTGAAAATAAGCCAGGAGGACTGACTAGATTCAAGAAAAATTAGAGGGGTTTTGTTTTTTTGTTTTCCAGACACAAGCATTTTGAGTAAGAGAGTCAGGAATATGTCTAACATGCAAATGACAAGAAACCCCATGGCCAGAGTGGATAAATTA